CGCCGGCGAAGACTGAGTTTTAATGAAATTGTTCCCGTTGATGAAGCTAACGAGCGTCGTAAGGGCGCTCGCGCGCGTCGGAAGGAGAAAGCATCCTTTGAAACGAGCACGCATTGACGTCACTTTATTCATCCCGTCGCCGGTAAATCGGTTAAGTGCGCCGCCCGCAGATTTTTCTGCCTCGGCTCAACGGCCGTAAATAAACGCGATAGAAATGCTTCGCCGGGAAACGAAGAAAGAAAAAAAACTGCGAACCTCTCGCGCCGCGCGACGGCTCTCTCCTTTTTCTCCCGTTTAGCACTCTCTCCTTCTCTCTCTTTCTCTCTCTCTTTCTCTCTCTCGCTCGATTTTGTTGCACCCCGCGCTATCAAGTTATTCCCACGCGTGCAACGTCTCGAGGCATTAGCGACGATTCCAGGACATTAGGGTGGATGTGCACCCTTTAGGCCGGTGCATCCTTTACGCCATGCATTCTTCAGGCCACTGCACCCTTTAGGGCCATCCGTATTGTTATTAGTGGACAGCGGATTTTATGCATATACGATAAAAATAATTTGGTAAAATTTGAATCGGTGCACAGAAATAAATTTGAATCGATCGCAAAATAACTTAGGATCTTAGGAACTTAGGAATAATTAGGAATTTAACCTATATATATTATTAATAGCTCGCTTAAAGCGTTAATGAACGGAATTTTTATCTTGCTGGTTTCTTGCGCTTCCTGCAATTTCTGAAGTTTCTACTTTGCATAACGATCCGCGGTCCCGTTATTAGACTTTTTATTAGGCCATTTTACACGTGTATTTACGTCACAAATGGGGTAGCTGCAATTTCAAACGGAAGAAGGAGAGAAAGAATCCACCGGTATCGTTGAAACTTTCATTGTTGAAGCAGAGATCTTCGCGCGAAATAGAAATTGTCCGCGTTAATTGCAACGTGCACGTACGTTTTTCTTGTTAACAATTTTAACGAGTCGATAAGAATGTTACATTTACAGGTATCAAATAATTTATTAGAACACTTTCGCATCTCTTGTGGCACAAGATTTATGCGATACGAGATTATTACACTAGATTTACGATTTCGGTAAAAACAGCTGTTTTAGAATAATTTATGAAAGTAACCGTGACACGTTTATTCGGATTTTGAACGAGGGTCGTTGCAATATTTGTCGCAAATGATAGCTGTATTGAACAAATAACTCACAAAAATTGAATTAAAATTAAAAAATCAGCGACCCGCCATTTCGACGGGTTCCATGAAACCCTGGTGCAAAGAATATTCGCGTCGAAGATTCCGTCGATTCTTACACGTTCGCCATCGATTTTTCGGACGTCCGACGCGCGACCATTTTGTCCAACGATCGAAGCCGGCGGAAACTGTAACCGGAGCGCGAAAAAATCCGAGGAACGCTCGAAAAATCCCTCCCGGGGATCGGTATATCACCGAGTCGCCGGGATTCGGAGCACGTCGCTCCCGGTGACAAATGAGCGCCGCGAACTCTCCAGGTTTCCATGGACAGGGGAAACTGGAGTGCTGGAAAACATCGATTTGTTTTCGCGACTTCTTTGAGAACGAGCCGCCGGCCGTAATGCAATCCCGAAACCGCGTCCCAGAATCCCAGAAATCGGCCAAGTTACTGCATCTTCGAACTTCGAACACTGTTATCCGATAACGTCGCGCACACCGACGACGGGATCTCCGTTTCCTACCGGCGCCATATTTCGGTCGGTATTCTCTCTCTCTGCCAAAGAATTTTAGCTGCTTTGCCAGACTGCGCGTAAGAAACGTATGGAACACGGAAGGGGTTGTAATTTCGAAGAAGAACAAGAGGCAGATCGTTGCCCTGTGATGTCGCGTACGCTACGAGATTCGTTTCGAATAGTTAATGGGCATGTTTTATTCGAGCCGAATAAATTTGTTTTTATTTATTATTGTTTATTATAATTGTATTATTATTCAATTCGATTTCGAATGAAATGAAATTTAATTCGAAGAATTTATTGTGTATTTTATTGGAATGCAATTTTATTCGAAGAGTTCATTGTGTATTTTATTGGAATACGATT